TTCCTTCTGTCTCTCTCCCTCTCTCCCTCTCCCTCTCTCTCTCACTCTCTCTCTCTGTCTCTCTCTCTCTGTCTCCCTCTCTCTGTCTCTCTGTCTCTCTCCCTCCCTTCCTTCCTTTCTTTTTTTTGTTAATCTTCACCCAAGGATATTTTTTCCATTGGTTATTAAAGAGAGTGCAAGGGAAGAAGGGGGAGAGAGAGAGAGAGAGAGACTTCGATGGGAGAGAGACACAGCTATTGATTGCCTCCCACATCTGCCTCAGTGGGGATCGAACCTGCAACCCAGGTACATGCCCTTGACTGGGAATTGAACCCTTCAGTGCACAGACTGACACTCCAACCACTAAGCCACACCAAGCAGGGTGGGTTTTTTTCCTTTCAGTATTTTAAATACTTCAATCTCTTCTTGCTTGCATAGTTTCTGAAGAAAAGTCTGATGTAATTCTCCCTCTATAGGTAAGGTTTTTTTCCTCCTTTTGGTTTCCTTCAAGATTTTTTATCTTAGATTTTCTGCAACTTGAATATAATTTGCTTGGGTGTAGAGGTTTAGGTATTTATCTTCCTTGGCATTCATTAAGTGTTCTGAATCTGTGAATTGGTGTTTGTCATTTTTTTGGAAAATTCTCAGTCACTATTACTTCAAAAATGTCTTCTGTTCCTTTCTTTCTTCCTGGTATTTCCATTATCTGTTTCATCTTTTGTAACTGTCACACAGTTCTTGGATATTTTGTTCCTTTTTTTTCCATTCTTTTTCTCTTTGCATTTTATTTGGAAAGTGCTGTGCTCAAATGTTTGTGTCCTGCCAAAATTCATGTTTAATGCTAACCCCTGTTGATTCTTTCTTAGAATTCCCATATCTCTGCTTTACATTGCCCATCTGTTCTTGCGTGTGGTCCCCTTTTTCCATTAAACCCTTAGCATATTAATCATAGTTATTTAAAATCCCTAATCTAATCTTTTTAAAATCTCTTGCATATCGGAGTCTGGTTCTGATGCTAGCTCTTCAAACTGCATTTTTCCTTTCGGCCTATCTTGTAATTTCTTGATAAAAGCCAGCTATGATGTACTGGGTAAAAGGAACTGAGGTCAGTAGGTCTTTAGTGTGAAGTTTTATGCTTATCTTCCTCAGAGATAGGCTGTTTATTGTTTTTGTGACTGTAGATGTCAGAGGTTAAAATTTCCTCTGGTGTCCATTGTTTTTTT